CTTGATTTTACTCACCAATTCGGTGCTTGCTTGCATTCTAGGATTTAAATTTATCTACGTAAAAAGAAGGAGTGGGGAAAGGAAGTGAAAGAAACAAACTTTTGAACTTTAACGATACGGAAGCCGTTAATGTGCAGATTACCTAGATACTCTGCAAATTACCTAGGTAATTTGAGAAATTAAACAATTTTCGCAGCTTTAACGGATCACCCTAGTTAATCTGCAGATTAGCTAGGTAATGTACACATTAACGGATTTCGAGCTTTAGCAGTAACATATATATTTCAACAGTTTTAGTTTTGTTTAAAGTCTTAAAAAGAGAGATTTCTCTATATTACATTCAAGTAATAATTTGTTGGATTTTCTGACTCAATCTAAAGTATTCAAGTAAAGAAAAAATTTTATTTTATAAAAGCTAATTGTGAATACAATTAAACTCTGTTCATCCAGATTCTGTTCATCCAAATTTCCAGAATATCCCGATTGGTTTGAATAGTTTTCTTTTTAAATTTTTACATATTTTGTGGAAATTATTATTTCTTATGGTGATTGTGAGATGACTGATCAATGAAATGTTATTTATAATTTTTTTTTTCAGATTTTCATTAATTCAGATTGGATATAGTTTAATGAAATATGTAGTACTGGATCCAGTTTCGTTTGATTCAGTTAAACAGGGATTGTCTTTGTCAGTTTATATACATGGTATTGAATCAAAATATTAAAATGTGTCACTTTCTCTCCCTATATTCTAAACAAATCATTACATTCAAATAACAGTTTGAATTTGTGAATGAATACATTTAAAATACAAATATTAAGAGTGCATTGTATATGACAAAGATCTAACCTTACTTTTATTTGAATTTGTTTTGATAAGATTAATTGAAGAATATTGATTTTGTTTGATTCTGATTTTATCTAATGAGTAAACTGAAGATATTACTAAACTATAAAATTACTCATTCAAAAGTAATTAAGTGTATTAACATGTAAACTATTCTTCCATATTGTTATTATATATATTCATAAAATTACAAACTTGATTTACTAAATATTTAATTTAAAGTATATGCTCTCCACCTTCAAATTAGTGGTGTCATCCCCTGTACATCATACTTTTCTTGTTAGCAATAGTCATGCCCAGTCATCTATTTAACTCCTTTTAGGAGAAAGTTTTTGAATTGAAATAACATGACTTTTCAGTGCAAACTGGAAGTTCATATAAAATTAATTGGGTCCTCCTGCCCCTAAGGTTTCCCTATTTGGCCTCAACTTTCATCTACCTAACTCCATTCTCAAGATTAAGGAAGGACAGACAGACAACAGTGGAAATTTGTAAGGTTGCAATTTGGTTGCATATTTGGTACACTGTGGTTCTTACTAGTAAATCAAGTTTGTAAACTACACTAGCAGAAAAAGATATTAAATAAATTTTTTTAAATAATGATTAATTTTGCATTGTGTTCCAAAGAGTAAGCATTACTTTAAATATTTATAATAGATAAACTTTACTAAATAGGTAGTTTTAAAGACAGTTTGAATTATACCTATTTAAAAATTAGCTATAGAAAAAATATTATTTGCTTCATGTTATTGGCATACAGAGAATCTAGTTGTTGAGTTTATCTAACTTCACTGCCTGTAACCTAACTTCGAATTCATATAGAGAATTCCATAGCGCCTGAAGAAGAACCACATTAGGTTCGAAAACGTTTGCAAAGTCCTTCGTATTGGAGAAGAACACCGGTTACAGGCAGTGAAGTTAGGTAATTTATCAATTATGGTGTTATAATTTCTATATAGTTTATCTGGTTGTTGAGATTAGACTGAAAGTGCTAGTTGATAAATTTAGATGCTGGTATCACAGTGTTGTTTCTCTATATGCTTTAAACAGTTGTTTCCTCATTAAAAATTGATATAATCAGATAAAAAATAAACAAACTAGAATTATGTGTTTCTTTGATTTGGGTATTTAGATTTTGTAATGTCAAAACATTCAAAGATCCATCTTTGAATGTTTTGACATTACAAAATCTCTTCTTTAGGAGAAGTGGCTTTATAAATAAAATAAAAAGTGTGTGCTTTGTTTTATTTATCTGATCATTTCACATCCAAAAACTGAATTTTCTTTACTTAGAGTCTAATGTAGTGTATGTCATGTATGTCAGCTTTCTTTGTTCTGTCTAACTTGTAAGACAAGGTTTTATTATTCTGGTTTTTCAGTCTATTTTACTACTAGCAAAACTCTCTTCTATCCTTAACTCTGATCTATCTAAACTACTTTTTGGGAAGATTTGCTATTGAAGTTTGGTTCTTGTAATAAAGAGAACTTAGGTAGCCAAATCTTTGTTTTAACTAAAGCATGTCATGAGAGATTTTAAGTCATTTAAAATCTCTCCTTACATGCTTACAAGAGATTGCTCATATGTAAAATCTCAAGCATTGGTGCTCTTAAAAATATATAATTTCTTATATAAATTTTATTACTGTTATGTGGATGATAAGAATTGTGCTGATATATTATAGATTTAATGTTTAAATAAGAAAAATCTTATTTAATTTTAGAATAATTAAATGCTTTATCATTATTTATAATAAATATTAACATTTTTAATAACAGACTAGTGGAGACAACAATTTCCTAGCCAATGTGTGGTGGTTTCCTCTATTTTCATATTTTGAGAAAAATGTCAACAGTCCCGTTCCATGCCGACACGAGTGGCCTCTTCCCTGGCCCCGGCGGTTTCTTCGGCACACGCGAATTTCCTAGCAGGGTTCAATATGTGGTGAGTATGGATTTAGCTTAGTTATGATAGCCAACTACAATTAAATTCTTACATTAATAAGATTACAAACTATTGTTAATGCAATGTGCATAAAGTTTGATGATGAAACAATAGTAGAATAGGATAGATATTTACATAATTATTGAAAGTTGTTTTAGAGAGAACTATTATATAATATGCTTGAATGTTTAAATTCTCTGTTTATTAGATTTAGTCATTATTGCTGCCTCTCAGCTCTTGTCTAAATTCACAGCTCATTTGGTCTTGACTGCAATCCAAGATCTCATCTCAGCTTTGTATTTCAGGAAAAATTTTGATTTGGTTGCATATGTTTGCAGTTTAAATTTTTATAAAATAGTGTATCCAGAAAATTTATTCTTTACTTCTGTCAAAATGAGGAAACTGCTGTGTGCTGGATGTTGCTGGATATTTTAAGTTAATTTTAGTCTGTTAAGATTCGTAATGAAAAAATATTAATACCTAATTATCTATATGATTATCAAATATTTTGTTGACATTATTTTTTGTCATGTGAAGGTCACAACACAAAATCCAGCAATAATTGTGTTAAATGCACTTTTTATTAGAACATTTTTAATATGAATTTGTAAATTAATTAACTTGAATTAGAAAATTCTTGGGGATTCCGCGTTCCTGAATTTGTAGGTGTATAGGAATGCTACCAGTAATTCAAAAAACCAAATCTATGGTTTAATTATGTTTATTTTGGTTGATTATATATATAACTATAAGCTTTTTGGATCAACTTACATTTTATGATTCTTTATCAGTAACTAAAATTAAGTCAACCTGATATAGTTATGTATGTAATCAACCAAAATAAATATAATTAAAATCATAGCTAAATCATAATGCAGATGCAGGATTATGGAATTTCCAAGAATTTTCTAATTGGAATATAGCTGGAATCCCAACAAGAAAAGGGGGAAAAAAGTAATTAATTTGAATTCAACTTTAATACACTGAGTATTGGACATAATTTAAAGAAAAGATCATCCCACACACAAGAACTATTTGATCTGTTTACACTTTCAAAAAAAATTACAAATGGTAAAGAAGTCAGTCCTCTGTCAGAAATGAATTTATTTACTGATATTTCAGAACAAGATATTTGGTTTATTTGCAAAATAAGATAATGTGCAATTTTTTGTGGGACAGCATTTTATTTTCAAATTGGTAATGTGTAGTGAGGGATGTAGTCTCTCTTCCCTCATAATGCAAACACAGTCCTGAGTTGTCTGCATTTGGTATATTTTTGTGTCATATCTCATCTCTGAATTTTTTAAATGAACTAATAAATATTGTAAGATGTGTTTAATAGAAATGTGATCAGTTTGTTAGTGTATGTTTCCCAATAATTACCTGTTTAGAATATTTTTGTTGCTTAAAACACTATGTAGTGTGATTAATTGATTACATGGCATTTCATCATCTTTTATCCGTTAGAATTTCTTCTTCTATTTGTCAGTTCAGTGAATATATTTGGATTTGTGTTAAAACACCAATAAATTGACTTAATTAACATTTAACACACAAATTTCAGATAGTCCATTTGTAGTTTGTCATTTATCTGTCAAAGCTGAAGTCTGATTTATTAAAATTATTAGTGGTAGTAAAAAATAAAAAATTTAATATTAAAGTTTTTATTTCATATGGCTACTCCTTCATATTTTAATTTGCAAAGCTTTTATTATTGTGTGTCACTATTAGATTATCTGGCAGATAATCCTTTACTGTTTGATCTACAGGAAGGGTTTGCTTGCTTACAGGATACTAGTGTAACAATTGTAGTGTCAAGAACTTTGAAAAAATGCAAAAGATTGGAATTTTTTTTATTAAAGTGTATAACTAGAAAAATACATGTTTGTTTTTTCCTTTAAAAAGAAGTAGCGATAATTTCGGTTTTAATTCTCAATTCATAATTGTTCTTTGTGCAGATTATTTCTCCAAGTGGAACAAAGTAAAATAAAAACAATTCAATTTTTCATATCTTGGTAGTTTAGTTTAATTTTATTCTATTCATGCAGACTGTTTTCTAATGAGTAAGTATAAATACAAAAACAAAATTTTTTTAAAAGTAAAGTGTTTATTTCAAAAATCTACCAATAAAATTAATATAAATTAGCATGCTCTTAATTTTGTATTTTTTGATTATTCTCTGCAAAAATCCAAGAACTTCTATAACATTCATCCTTAAAATTTGCTTATTTAAGTTTCCAGTTCTTTTTCTTTTGTAGCTTTATTATTATTATTATTTTAAAAATATTAGTTCTTCTCATCTGTTATTTAATTGTTAATTTTCTCGTATGAAGTTATATTTGTCATTATGGTTGATTTAGCAAGCTCTTGAGGTAGTCACATAGTACTGCAATTACGCAGTAACTCTAAGGGAATGTTTGTGCAGAAATTAACATCAAAGGATATAGTAAATGTGTTCTGTCATTTACTTAAAGTTACGACAATCATTTCTTTGTCTTGAGGGATAATCATGAGTCTTGTTTCTAATTGGATAGTACTTGAAATACAAAAGTTTTATCTAGTTCTATAGATAAATACCTTTTCTAATATCTGAAGATGAAAAATCTTCTTTCTTTCTTTTAATTATAAAAATTTTAATTGATACTCTTAAGTCATCATAAGATAATTAAGTTTGAAGGTACATTTATAACATACTTAAATTAGTAATTTGAATTACTTGATTTAAATTTAGATACATCAAATATTTATTTTATGGAACAATTTATTAAAATGTTGAATTAATATCAGGTTATTTTATAATTTAGTATCTTTCTTCTTTTAAATAAATCTTTGACCTACATTTTAAAATAATTATTTTTATANATTAATTTATTTATTAATTTTTATGTTAAAACTGTAAAAATTATCGTAACGATTAAGGAAATATTTTGCAGATGGTCCTCGAAAATATTTTATATTACCTTGTATAGTGTGGCTGGCAAGCGCAGTCGGAATATTTATGGTCCTGCTTTCTCGAGGTCATTACACCGTGGATGTCGTCATTGCATATTATGTCACAACAAGAGTATTTTGGATATATCATACAATGGCCAATAATCCATCTTTAAAAGTATGTACAAGAAGTTAAATTTTAGTATTTTAATAATTTTTTTCACCTTATTTAATAACATATTTAATTACAATAAAATTCTTAATCAGCACAACTATGATTGGTTCTGTTTATAAATTTTGTTGTTGTATATATAAGAATAGAAGTGTTTTTATTTGCAATACTAGTCTGAATTTCTGTTTGTAATAGCTTTGATAAACTATGCTGTTAAAAATAAATAAACTGAAAAAATCAGCTAGCTTCAGTCTATATATGATATATATTGTAAGGTAGCCAACCCGGTTGAGATAGGGGACTTGAAAACCCACTCCTTGGCACCTGTGTAAGGTCACCAACTTTTAGGTGGGATTAATTTATCCCAAGTCAGGATGATCCTCAGGGGAGGTTGTATGTGGTCTGTGATGGAGGAGGCAAATGATGACAAGTGTTTTCACAAGAAAGCCATTTATTTGTTAACATTTATGCTTACATCAACAATTGAGTCCTTCACTAGTCCTTCCTTTGGAGAGGCAGAGAGGCGAGAACTTTGGTGCCGGTCATAGCCCTGGGCCGGACAAGATGAGATCACTGGGCAAAACAGATGATCGGGAAATGGTGCGGTGGAGTTCTAAGTTGATGGCGACGACACAACTCAATACAGATCATGACTTTTTCTGGAATACAGAGAAGACTCTTCTTCAACCTTGAAATTCTGATTTTTATAGCCTTTCCCCCCCCTATTCTTATTTCAGATTGGTCCCTCATACCATTCCTCACTTTCCGATTGGTTTTCCCTTTGTCTCCAAGTGCAAGACGAAACCTCTTCGGGTCATGGGAAAGGTCTGATTCAAGGTGTTCATTTGATACCTCTTTGTTGACTCTGCCTGGAGATTGTTTATAAAACAATAACACCTGCACTCAATTTAGGCCATTGTTTGTGCATTTTTTTTTAAGGCCAAGAATTTAACAATCATTTTCATCTATTAAAAGTTTTCCTTTTTTTGTTTGAGAAGGTTTATCTCGGCTAACATTTTATAGACTCACAAGTCAGTGATCTACCTATTTATGAACGTTCTTGTTAGAGTTTGTCTTTTGCTAAGTCCTTGACAGATAGTGTGACACACTCGAACCATTCCGAATCTTGTTGTTTACATCTGGTGTCACATAAGAATTTCGAGGTTTACTTGAGTCCAAACCTCGTCTGGGAACCCACAATATGCTATGTTACAATAAGGATATACAGTATAATTATTATGTGAAAGTCCATTATACAATATTCAATTTGTAAAAGAGAGTAGCTTAAGCATTGAGTTTTTATGGGTAGCTGTTGTCATTGAAGTTACCTGAAATCTTTTATTAATTAATTAATTTTAAATATAACTAATTTTTCATTATTCAGTAACGTATAAAGTATTTGTTTTTATAAGAACTTAAGTTATTAAAGTTCTAAATTCTGGTTGTAAAATTTTTTGTTAGTTTTCATGAGTGTAGTGATAATGATAAATTAATCAGATGGCAGTTAATCAGACTATACTGGCAACTTTAAAATTTTGCTTTAAATTAACATTTTAACAGTGTCTTATAATTATTTTAATATAAGCCACATTTGTAACTTTGTACATGTTAATAGGATAATTAAATTTATTCCCTGCTTTCCCCAATATATTCTTATTAATCAATTGATACATTGTAACTCTTATAGGTAGATTAAAAATTACTAGTGTCAAATCTTGTGCAATAATTTGTGGTTATCTGTCAGAGGTGTTGTGCAATTTCTGCTTTCTCCAAGTTCTAGCAAAAACTGTTTAATTCTCATCAACTTAGATTTGCAACAGTGTTATTTGTTAAGTATTGAGTCCTTTTTTTTCAGTATACTAACTGAATTACAATAAAAAAACAAGAGAAATTGAGT